GATTCGTTTCATCTCGGCTGTCAACGACGGGATCTACACCTGGGCTGAGCTTGATCGCTTCGTCAGGTCCCACCAGCTCTCGGTACGCATTGCGCATGACATTCCCTGCGCTGACTCCCTGCATTATGTGTCGCAGTATGCGGTCAATCTCGTGAGGTGGCTGAAGGAGGAGATGTCGCGCCAGCGGGAGCTGATCGAGAGGTGTGCAAGGATGGCGATATCTGACTTCTACTACCTCTACGTGCAGCCACGTGTGCAGGGGTGAGAGAGGAGCCACAAAGGCCACATATACACGGCACTTATGCAATATCTTTTTTCACAGGGATGGACGCCCGTTGATATCCGACGAGGCCTATCGCCCATTGTGCAGCGCGGTGAGAAATTGACATGCCACGCCTTTTGTTTTTCGGTCACTTCGTGTTTGTTTTACAGAGGTTCCAGAGGACGAGGCAGGAGTTCCATTTGCGCATGATGCGTTTGCACGGAGAGGAGGGGTTTCTCAAGTGACGCACGGAGGTGGGGTGAATGCAAATATGGCACGAGAAAACACAAATGTGAAGGGCATCTTCTCTGTCTGTTGTGTATCAACATGATGGTACTACGGGCGATTGGGACGACTCCCAGCTGGCCACCGCCGCGAGACCACCGACAAGAGAAGGAAGACTGTCGTCGGTGTCGCGGGTGAGCAAATGAGTGGGACAGAAAGGCAACACCTGTTCTCGTGTGTGTGTGTGTTTGCTGCAGCACACCAGTCTGATGTGCCGGGTGTTTCCTGGAACGAGAATACCCAGGCCTGGGTGGCTTCCTGGTGGGAGAAGGCTGACGGCAGGCATAAGCACAAGACCTTCTGCGTCAAGGAGCACGGCGACAATGCCAAGGTATCCACTTCATCGGCTGAACTTCATGCTGTTATGTCAGCCATGCATGTTGCACCTGTATGTATGTATGTGTGTGTATGTCAGGCGAGGGCTGAGGAGCACCGTCTTGAGATGGAGCGTAGCGGGCGGGCGGCTGTACGGAAGACGGCTGAGCACCAGAGCGGCGTTCGGGGCGTCAACTACATGCAGAGAAACCATGCATGGGTGGCCCAATGGCGGGAGGACGGCGAGAAGAAGGCCAAGTATTTCTCCATCAAGGAGCTTGGCTTCGAGAAGGCCAAGCAGATGGCCATCGCACACCGGCGGGCCATGGAGTCAAAACACTACACGTTTGTCGGCAAGGGTAGCAGCAGAGCAGCCCGCCGTAGATGATAGTGAGAAGGAGCGTCCCAAGAGGAAGAAGAGGAGGAGGGGAGAGTGAGGGTAGCCCATGATGTTGATAGGGATAGGTTGTACAGAGACACTACTACATTATCGCTGTTGATATACCGGTCTGTGCATTCACACTGAATACTGCACACACTCGATCTCAAGTCAACAAGAAATACATCGCGATGCCGGCTCTGCAGGACCTGCAGAAAGCAGAAGTTATTCATTAATTGCATTGGACTGAGCGATAATAGAGCATGTACCGTACTCGCTTCATTTAGCAATGAGCGAGCGCCAGCATGTACTAAAAGCAAAAGAAAGAAAACAAGATCCTGTATCTGATTCAAACAAAAGTATTCCTGTCCAAGTCTAACCTCCGGACACCATCGTAGCCGGGTCAATCAAGCCTGAAAAAAGGCCATGGTGACAAGGCACTACATATTTGTCGGCAAGGGGGCAAAGCAGCTCACGGTAGAAGAAGATGAGCGTACCAATAAGAGGAGGAGGAGGATGTGCTTCAACATGATGTTGATAGGTTGTACAGACACTACCGTATCGCTGTCGATACACTGGTGTGCATCCATATCCATACGCTTATGTGGGAATACATTGACTCATAGCGCAACAGCAGGCAGAGTCTGTCGGCCTCTCATGAAATGAAGTGCGTATCCATACGCTTATCGTCCGAATAATATACACGGCCTCAGCGATTATGAACAACAAATGCTATGAAACGGTTCCCTGCAGATACAGTCCAGACCGCCTTAGTGCATAAGCGGCCCAGGGTGTCCCATTTCGCATTTTTTCCCATTTGTCCGTGTCCCATTTATCCGGCCGAAGTTCACAATGCCCGTCTGTTACAGGGTATCGCAGCAGGCCGCCTGACTCGCCCGGCATCCAGCTTGGCCCGGAAAGAAGGAGAAGAAGAAAAAAGAAAACAACAACAAAAAACAACCCGGCCGGCGGCGAGGACGAGGAGAGCGAGCGGGGCAAGTGCTTGAGCTTCGCTTGGGCGAGACAAACAAGCAGGAATGATTCACTGGCGAATGGGTGATGGAATGCAAAGGCTAAATTTTTACAAAGAGAAGCACTCTCCTATAGCTCTTCTGACGGCATTTTCGGTTCGATTCGGTTAGGTTCGGTCGGGGCTTCAGGGGTGCTCTGGCTTTCATATGGTTTGGTTTGGTTTTGCATGGTCAGAAGAAGGTTCAGCTGGGAGCCGCGCACCGCTCAGCCTTGGGCAAACCGCAGAAATATTTGAAAATCGTCAAATAAACGCAACGTTACGGCAAACGACGTCTTGACGTGTCCAAGCACAACCGCAACGGAAATCAGCTACAGAAAAATAAATGGAAAAACAGGAGACATTTAAAGACACATTAAAAGACGACGGTGGGGGGGGAGGGGGGTGGAAATGCACTGGGGAAATGCTATTTTGAGGTTTGTTTTGGCCATCTGACATCCATCGGCACCCCCCCCCCCTGCTGCTCCCTCTGGGAGGCTGACGCCGGCCGCTTCTGCCCCGTCTTGACCCGTCACGAGATGGTGGTGGGCCCCTCAGAAGATGCGGCGTCTCCCTCGGGAAACACTTATTGGGAGAAATACATAAGCGAGAAAGGCCGGGCGGCCGCCTGCTTGTCTGATCATGGTTGTTGACTCCTTGTTTCACTGCAAATGCTTCCCAGTGCTCAAAGGGAAGCCATTCATGCTGCTCCGTTGCTTGTTTGCTTCGCTGCTTCTGTTTTGCTCACTTGGCCCCGCTTTGGCGTCCCCGATCTCGGCTGTTTGTGGGTGTTCACAAAGATCAGCCACTTAGGCTGGAACACATGCAGGCCGTCATGGGTCACCGCATCTGCACCACGAGCAGAAGCAATGAAGCTGCACGACGAGCATCTGCTTGGACGGCATCTGGCGA